GAGAGAGAGAGAGAGAGAGAGAGAGAGAGTGTGTGTGTGCGCGCGCGCGCGCGCGCGCGCGCGCGCTGGGGGGAGGGGCAGAGGGAGAAAAGAGTCCTAAGCGGACTCCACACTGAGCATGGAGCTCGATCTCACGACTCCGAGATCAAGACCTGAGCCGAAAACAAGAGTTGGACACCCAACCGACTGTGCCACCCAGGTGCCCCTAACTAACTAGAATTTTAAATAAAAACTTGAAAAAAAAAAGAGTAAGGTTTTAGAAGCAGAGTTGACAAGATATGCTGATGTTAGGGAGTGGTGAGATTGGAAAAGAAGAAATCCAAGACGGTTCAAGGTTTTGATCTGAACAATCAGGTAGGTTCCACTGCTGAGCAGGAAGACTGAATCTGGGGGTGGCCAGAAAGCCAGAAGTTTGGACATGTCAACTTTGAGGCACTCAGGAGCTTTCTCTGCTTAGGGATGATCAGGAACAAGAATCTGGTAATGAGGTCTTGGCTTCTTTCTGGATTCCTGAGGGGAGAGCTCAGGTGAACGCAGAATTCCTTCTGTGTCGCCGGGAAGCCAGAACTCAGGGAAGTTGTGCATGTCCTGCTAGAGCTGAGGTGGTTACGGCAGCTTTAACATTTCTAAACCTAGAGCCAATTATTAGATTTACAAATTCACCAGGTTTTTAAACTGCCAGGGAATTTTAACTCAAATTAACTGCACATTAGAAGGATACATTATTGTAACTTTTTTTTTTTAACTGCAAGGCTGTTAACACAGATCTGCATCATTAGATGCTGGAAGATTTTTCTCTTCCTGAGAGGGAAAAGAGCTCGTAGGAATGGCTTGTCCTCTTACTGACCCAAATGAAAATACAAAAACAGAAACAAGCCCTTCTTCACCATCATGAAGCCAGGAACTTCAAGTCAAAGGCATGTCTTCCCTACAGAACCCTGCTTGGACCTTCCCAGCCCTCTTCAGCAAAACAGAAAATAATTGTTTTAAAAATCTCTTAACTATACCATTTTCTCTTTACCTCTCTCTTTGTGGCTGAGGCCAGGCCTATATTCATTTCAAATACTGCTCTGCTTAGAAATTTTCAAATCGTTTGGCTCAGTGATTTATGAATTTATGGCTTAGAAAAATTATCATAGATGTAAGAGGAAAAGTTTTTTTGTGAAACTGTTCACTTCAGTATCGTTGACTGGAAAGACTCTAAAAGACCAGCAATAGCAGAGTGGTTAGGTAAATTATACCACAGTCACATGCAGAATAGCAGCCATTAAACTGTTTATGAAGGATTTTGATTAATCTGGGAAAATATCTGGGTTAGCTGGAAAAAAGCTGGATGCATACCTGATCAGAGCCCAAGAAAACTATGTGAAACAGAACGGAGCAAAGAGCACATAGAAGAAAGACTGGAAGGAACCATGGCAACAGTGTCCCTTTCCTCTCTCTGCGTTTCCCGAATCTTTATGATAAATACGAGGCGCTGCAAGCCACGGTCCTTAGTCATGAAGGAATTAGGGGAAATTTCATTCTTGAGGTCAAGAAACTGTGTAAATACCAATTCAACACTTAGGTGAGTGCGTAGAAGCGGCGATGGGGGTGGGGGGAGGGGATGGGACAGAAGAGCACTCATATTTACTGAATGGAGAACTCCTATTTATGGAATGCCTACCAAGTAAAGGCTCTCCTTTACCCTGACCACAACCATTTGAATTAGGTATTATGATTTCCTTTTTACAGGGGAGGAACTTGAGGCTAAGAAAGGTTAAGTAATTTGTCCAAACCACAATTAGAATTTCAGCTAAAACCCATGCTCTTTCCACCTCACCAGAATTACAGGACTCGGTGATGGTCTGGATGTGAAGCCCGCCAGGGAGGGAGGTGTCAAAGATAATGTTTAAGGTGCTCTGCCTTGGGCGGCAGGGCAGATGGTGCTTGCTGCTACTCATTGTGACAAGGAGGAATGGCGGGTTTGCAAGGAGAGCTTGAGTGTACTTTGGGAGTGCTGATTTTAAGGTATCTGAGAGGCATCTTAGTGGAGATGAACAGTAGGCAGCTTGTATAGACCATTCTGAATTTTATAGGCAAGATTGTCATCCGGAGGTGCAAAATTTGGAAGCCTCTGGATGGTAAGTAAGATGGTGACTAAAGCCACTGGTGTGGATGAGAACACCCCCAAGAGAGTACGTAGAGTAAAAATGAGGTCTTTGATAGCACAGCTGGATTTCGGAGCAGTGCAATGGAGGTTAAGGGCCACGGAGTTTTGAGTTACGATGTTACAGGAGCCAAGACGAGAACGTATCTCAAGGAGGGAGCAGTCAGAAGCATTAACTCCTTCTAAGAGGTCAAGTAAGAGAGGAACAAGCATTCAAAACAAAGAGCCCATTGGATTTAGCAACAAGGACTCTCAGGAGGGTGGTGGGAGCAGAGACCAGGGTGTGATGGGTGAAAAACGAGTAGAAGGTAAGGAAGTGGGGATCATGAGTAATTTTAGCAAATCAGACGGTGGTGGGGGAGGAGTCAAGATGAATGGATTGGAACAGGACCGGACAGGAGGATGTTGGCTGAAAGGAAAGCGTATCCTAAGACAACAGGCTGTTTAAATGCGGATATAAAAGCAGCACTACAGAGGGCAGACTCGAAGACAAAGGAGAGATGGAGGTAACTAAAGAGTCAAGGTGGCCGAGATGACTGGAGGGACGAGAAACCAACCAACACACAAGTGGATGACCCTTCCTGCACCGGAGCAGTAGGGAAGGCTGGGCAGGGATGCAGATATATCTGTGGATCTGGCGGATATATTGGGGGGGGGCAAGATGGGGGATGGTGGTGGTTTGGAATGTTCCAGTCTGATTTTTGTTCTTTTCTGAGAATTAGGAGGTCAAATAATCCACAAGGAATGGAGGGTTTGGTGAGGGAAGGAAAGGAGGTTGGAGGAAAGTGATGAAGGCTTGAAATTGTTTCTTTGGAGAACAGGAAAAACCATTGACCAGGGAAGAGCATGAGGGTTGCCAGGGAGCATTAACGGTCCAGCTGAGGCCACAGGAACTGAAGTTACTGTAGCAACCATCTGCCCAGATGTTGATTTTTTTTTTTCTAGCAATTTAGACATTGGCATGAAGAGACGTAGGTTGGTCCAAAGCTGAGCATTTGCCAGGAAGGTCTGAGGGAAGAATAATGGAGCAAGGGAGTAGAGATATGATATTGGCAACAGATGGGCGAGGGATTCTAAGGGGGAACAGGCAAGAAATAAAAATGAAAGGGGCTGATTAGAAGAAAACAGAAAGATCTGGGTGACAGATGTCTTGTTTGGAGCTAATATTTATTGAGCATGTTATCAGTCCTTAATCCTCTATTTAAAGAGCCCCGTGAGGTTGGTTCCTATCCATCTGTTACACAGGAGTTTTAAGTATTTTTAGCCCAAATTAGCAAATCAGTCGCAGAACTAAAGTGTGAGCCACGTTGCTAACCACTGGACAACACTGGCCTCCTGAGTCTCCGT